TGAACCCTACGAAGCCAACCTTACTGAAGCATATATCACTCATTGGCCTATCCCTCTGTGCTGGAACACGTCTACTACTCACAGGGATCCTCTCAGGATCCTTCACCCAAACTACATAATCCTCTGTCTCATGCCCTCCTGCACACTTCCCACATCTTGGAATCTCCCTCATACACACTGCTGGGACATGACCATAAACGTGGCACCTGAAACACTGCAGTGGATTCGGAACAAAAGCTCTAACAGGATAACTGTTACACCAAAAAAACTGGAATATGGTGCTGTTAGGACCAAAGTTTGATTCAGATGTTTATTTGATAGTGAGGGACACATTTCACTTTACATCTGGTAAGTAGAGTTCCTAGAGATTTTACATATGCCTTTGTTGACAGGGGGGAAAAAATGTGTGTGTGTGTGTGTGTAGCCGGCTGTATTGTGGTAGGGGAGTCCAACAAATACAGACTCCCGATGTTGTGTCCCAAAGCTAAAGGTAGGCTATAGCCAGTGTTGTTGGAGTGACAATAGTATTGAAAATAAGTTTGAAGGCAAGCTGCTATAGCTAACGTTAGCCTAAATGTTTCACTGACTATTTCATCAGCCATGATATTTTTCATCCCTGTATCGCATAAAACAAGTTAAGTAGCTAACAAGTTAATGTTAATTCCTTGAGAGAGAGAGAGAGAGAGAGATAGAGATGAGACACAGCGGTTTGAAGAGGAAGAGGGCCCCTTTGTGTGTGTTTTAAAAACATTTGGGTCTCCATGACAATTTACTTTATTGTGGACCCAAATAAATAAGACCGATAAAGAAAACGTGTTTTTTCCCCTCAGGGTAAGATGGTGAAGGGAATGGGCAGGCTCATGGATCTGGTGGCCAGCGGTGTATCCAACGTGGTCATCACCATGGAGCACTTAGCTCCATGGTGAATGATGACCTAGTAGTTTGTGTTTGTGTGTTAGAGATCTCTTTGTGTTTATTTGTCAGAAAGAGAGTCAATAATCATGACTCTCAATATCAATTTTATAATATCATTATGAATTAAATCCTTCTTGCCCACTGCTGTCCGGGCCTTCAACAACACCAGGTCACAGTCAACACACAACATTACCCAGTCACTTTATTGTCTTTTGCACACTACAGTCTCTACAGTTATATTTATGTTTAATGTGATTGTCTTGTAGTGTTGTGGGTATTGTGTTGTTTTTACTTTGCCTTAATGACAATCTAATTTCATCTCATCTCTCAGCAGATGAGATTGTTCCTCCTGGCCATGGAGACATCGGCAACTCATTCCAGTACCAGTTCCTTCAAGCTGAATTTCAGTTATTATCATTATTTTTGCCATCTTTCATGCCATCCAGTGTTGAATATAGTCAAATCAAACAGATCTTTCTTTAATGTTTTAATTTTTAAGGATTTGTTGTTGACGGTTCATAATCACACTGAAATGTACATTATTTAGGCTCCAATTCAAATATATTGATCTATTATTGTACAGTATAATAATGTATTATAGTAATGATTGGTTAATGCAAACAATACCAGCAGTTGCTGTTTTAAAAATAATAAATATAGTATAGTGACAATCTCTTTTGAAACAATCAAGCTGAGTGTTGGTGTTTTTCTCTCATGCCTCAATGGAATTAGGAAAATATGTAACTGAGTATTTGAATGCTGTTTTCTCCCTCCTACTTTAAAAGCACAACTCGGGTTCTGATAAAGAGATAGCATTTATTTTTCAGAACTATAAAATCAATCTAAAAGTCCAAATTTGACGATGTGAAGGGTTTCCCTAGGCCACCATACATTTATGACTCTCTGCTGCTAACCAAAGCCACAGATCTAGGATCAGATTTAAGCATACAATTATATCTACGCAAATGCCCAACAATGCCATGGCAAGGACAAAATTGTGATCATAGAAATGAAAGTGAAAGTTCCTTCTTCAACTTATAAAACAAGTTGAACTTGTTTGAGTTGAAATGAGAGAGAAGTGATATCTGACATTTCTGAAACATGAAACTCTTCACTGTTTAATTCCAGATGCAGGTAAATTAGAACATATTTTCTGTTATTATTATTATTATTATTATTATTATTATTATTATTATTATTATTTTCTGTTTACCCTTAATACTAACTTTCATCCCTGTTGTCTGTTTTCACACTAATATGTCCAGGTGTGCTGGGATTCCTACAGGTGCAATGGCTGCCCTGTTGACTGACGGATGAGAATGTATGGACAAATGCTGAGAGACACATTGAAACTAAAGGCATCTACAGAGATGATGTGGTGCACTTTACTTGTTGCAGGTGAGTCCGTTCCATGTAGTGGAGTGTAAACTCAGTTTACCCAGTTTTGTGAATTTGGTTTACCTACCTATCACGCTGTGTTTTTTGCATTAGGGTTTACCCAGAGCCATTAATATGGTTATATGGCTCTGGGTTTATTCAAATTTTTTACCCCTACAACCTTGAGAAAGAGATACAATTTCAAACAAAAAAGATCTACAAGTTAAAGTTGCAATGTGCAGAAATCGCTCCACCATTTCCTGGTTGCTAAAATTCTAATAGTTTGCCTAATTTCAGTTTGTCATAAAACAAACAATGCATAGTGTAGAGAATCATGTACCATCTAAACTACTGTGAAATATCTTTTCAATAACCAAAAATATTGTATTTTCTACTGTTTGAAGCTGGTGTATAAAACCGAAAGTAAAAGAAGCAAAAATAAGCTTCAGAACGGGAAGCATAGAAATAGCGTGCATAGAACAGATCTACCCCTTTTTTATTGCTTTCAATAAGAGTTTTTATTTTATTTTTTATTTCACCTTTATTTAACCAGGTAAACCAGTTGAGAACAAGTTCTCATTTACAACTGCGACCTGGCCAAGATAAAGCAAAGCAGTGCGATAAAAACAACAACACAGAGTTACATATGGGGTAAAACAAAACAAAGTCAAAAATACAACAGAAATACATATATATACAGTGTGTGCAAATGTAGCAAGTTATGGAGGTAAGGCAATAAATAGGCTATAGTGCAAAATAATTACAATTAGTATTAACACTGGAATGATAGATGTGCAAGAGATGATGTGCAAATAGAGATACTGGGGTACAAATGAGCAAAATAAATAACAATATAGGGATGAGGTAGTTGGGCGGGCTAATTTCAGATGGGCTGTGTACAGGTGCAGTGATCGGTAAGGTGCTCTGACAACTGATGCTTAAAGTTAGTGAGGGAGATAAGTGTCTCCAGCTTCAGAGATTTTTGCAATTTGTTCCAGTCATTGGCAGCAGAGAACTGGAAGGAATTGCGGCCAAAGGAGGTGTTGGCTTTGGGGATGACCAGTGAGATATACCTGCTGGAGCGCAGACTACGGGTGGGTGTTGCTATGGTGACCAATGAGCTAAGATAAGGCGGGGATTTGCCTAGCAGTGATTTATAGATGGCCTGGAGCCAGTGGGTTTGGCGACGAATATGTAGTGAGGACCAGCCAACAAGAGCGTACAGGTCACAGTGGTGGGTATTATATGGGGCTTTGGAGACAAAACGGATGGCACTGTGATAGACTACATCCAATTTGCTGAGTAGAGTGTTGGAGGCTATTTTGTAAATGACATCGCCGAAGTCAAGGATTGGTAGGATAGTCAGTTTTACGAGGGCATGTTTGGCAGCATGAGTGAAGGAGGCTTTGTTGCGAAATAGGAAACCGATTCTAGATTTAACTTTGGATTGGAGATTCTTAATGTGAGTCTGGAAGGAGAGTTTACAGTCTAACCAGACACCTAGATATTTGTAGTTGTCCACATACTCTAGGTCAGACCCGTCGAGAGTAGTGATTCTAGTCGGGTGGGCGGGTGCAAGCAGCGTTCGGTTGAAGAGCATGCATTTAGTTTTACTAGTGTTTAAGAGCAGTTGGAGGCTACTGAAGGAGTGTTGTATGGCATTGAAGCTCGTTTGGAGGTTTGTTAACACAGTGTCCAATGAAGGGCCAGATGTATACAAAATGGTGTCGTCTGCGTAGAGGTGGATCTGAGAGTCACCAGCAGCAAGAGCGACTGTCACACTCTGGTTCTAGGACTTTTTGTGTTTAGTCAGGGTGTGTAGATTTCCGTGTGTTGTGTACTGTGGGTAGTGTCTAGGTGTTCGCGTTCTATGTTTGGTCAGTGACTCCCAATCGGAGGTAACGAGTGTCAGCTGTCGGCTCGTTATCTCTGATTGGGAGCCATATTTAAATGTCTGTGTTCACCTTGTGGTTGTGGGTTTTTGTTCTTTATTCAGTCGGTGTAACTGAGGACGTCACGGATCGTGTTTTGTTTTGTCGTGTGTTTCAAAATTAAAATCATCATGTTCACTCCCAACGCTGCGCTTTGGTCATACTTCATTGGCGATCGTGACAGCGACGTCATTGATATACACAGAGAAAAGAGTCGGCCCAAGAATTGAACCCTGTGGCACCCCCATAGAGACTGCCATAGGTCCAGACAACAGGCCCTCCGATTTGACACATTGAACTCTATCTGAGAAGTAGTTGGTGAACCAGGCGAGGCAGTCATTTGAGAAACCAAGGCTATTTAGTCTGCCAATAAGAATGCGGTGGTTGACAGAGTCGAAAGCCTTGGCCAGGTCAATGAAAACGGCTGCACAGTACTGTCTATTATCGATCGCGGTTATAATATCGTTTAGGACCTTGAGCGTGGCTGAAGTGCACCCATGACCAGCTCGGAAACCGGATTGCATAGCGGAGAAGGTACGGTGGGATTCGAAATGGTCGGTGATCTGTTTGTTGACTTGGCTTTCAAAAACTTTTGAAAGGCAGGGCAGGATGGATATGGGTCTGTAACAGATCTGAGTGACATATCTATAACTCATATTTCTATGTGAATTTGGTCAGGTCGCCCAACAAGTTACATATTGCAGCTTTAAATCTCATCTTGCAATGGTGGTGGTTCGGAATTTCAACCCAGTGTCTCCCTCAGCATCTAATGTAGATATGAGGAAGTTTGTGGAGGGTCCGGTGGATCGGCTGCAGTGTGAAATCCACAGGTATAGCAAAGGGATTAGCCGTGTGCGCTGGCCCAGCCTGGGAGGAAAAGAGCACATCTGGTTCACCTGCACACTGTGGCACACTGCAGGTTTCTTCACCATCACGTCCTTCCTTAGAGTCACCCCAGCCACGACCATGTTTGCCCACCAGACCAAAATATTTATTTTGTATTGTGGGCTTACGTAAAAATATCAGCACACATACTGTAATGTAACATGTACTCATACGCTGTACTCATGTGTCCATTGGTACACAGAATTCTGGCCCAGTTTTTCCTGGTCAGGTTGTGGTCAGGAACAACTTCTGGCCCTACACATACTATGGGTGTCTCGTTTGATACAGTTATGTACGTATGCCAGTGGTCCAACCTAAGATCTGTCTGTGTACCTCTTTCCCCCCCCATTTGTCCCCTCTCCTCCATTGCCCTTACCTTCCCAACACTCTCCCTGTGGCCTGTCTATGTGTAGCTGGGATGGTGGTGACCCGCTCTCCCTCTGTGCGGGTGGGCCTGTAGAAGGAGCCGACCCTGCACTGTCAGTTTGCCGTGGACAACAAGGCCCCTCACCTCACAGTGGAGTGGCATCTACAGCGGCACGGCGGGTACCGAACCAATCTGTTTCAGCTACTCCAGCAGCTCAGGGCAGACAGAGGGCAGCGGGGTAGCAGTAAAGGGCATTGCCAGGGGTGACGCCTCCCTGACTGTGCCCCTTACCAATGTGAGCAGTGAGGGGACGTTTCATGTGTTCTATCCGCGTACCCCCACTCAATGGGAGCCTGGACATCGCACTGCATGTCATGGTGAGACCTCTGGGGGTGTGAGGGAGGTAGCTTACTGTGTTGGGGTCAATTCCATTTTCAATTCAGTCAAATCAGGAAGTGAATTTAAATAATTAAAATTCAGTTCATGACTTGAAAAGATTTCTCAATAATAAATAGAGTTGTACAAAATAGTACTTTATTTGCGGAAGTATACTTTAAAAAAATGTTTTATCCCCAATTGGTAGTTACAGTCTTGTCCCATCGCTGCAACTCCCGTACGGACTCGGGAGAGCTGAAGGTCGAGAGCCGAAACACGACCCTGCCAAGCCACACTGCTTCTTGACACACTGCTCGCTTAACCCGGAAGCCAGACGCACCTGTAGCGACTCCTGGCCCGCCACAGGAGTTGCTACGGCGCGATGGGACAAGGACATCCCGGCCGGCCAAACCTTCCCCTAACCAGGACAACGCTGGGCCAATTGTGCGCCACCTCATGGGTGTCCCGGTCGCCTGCGACACAGCCCGGTATCGAACCCGGGCCCGTAGTGACGCCTCAAGCACTGCGATGTAGTGCCTTAGACCGCTGCGCCACTCGGGAGGCTCCCTAGGAAGTATACTTAAAGGTTCACAACTTCACATAATCACACAACAGACACTATTAAATGATACATCACTAACCTCTCCAAAATATTGCCCGTCTTTCATATTTCACCCTCAAATCCTCCCCGTGTATTCTTGACCACAGATCAGGAGTTGAACCCCAGGGTGGTGTGTGTGGCTGAGCGGTTTTACCCCTGGGACATGGAGATTGACCTATTCAAGGAGATCAGTAGTGGTCAATGGCCTGAGAAGCTGGAGAATGCCACTTACTACAGTCGCCACAAAAACAACGACAGTACCTACTCTCTGTCTGCCTTTGTCGGGCTGCAGCCCTCGCCTGAGGAGTCAGAGTGCGCAATGTATTCCTGTAGAATGTTTCATGTCTCCTTGCTGGGCCTGTACATCCACAAGAGCATTATCGGCTCAGATGAGATCAATCAATCAAATGTATTTATAAAGCCCTTTTACATCAAGCAAAAGCAGAGGCACACATCTTCTTCAGCAGGAAGATATAATAAGAATGAAGAAATTGAACCTATGAATCTGATCAGAATACCAATACTGGTGAGTTTTTAGTGGTATTTTGTCTCTGATGCAGGCAGTCTGACTTGGATTTACCTGATCTTACCTGGATTGGTTTCCGAAAAAAATATGAAACATGAACAAGTATTTCTGTCGAGGCGCACTTTGAAGATGCTATAACAGTCTACATTTACTTTTCCTCTGCAAACAAAATGAGTAATGCATAGGAAAATCTGACAATCCCATAGTAGAACAGTTTATGCATTTACCTAGTCGGCTTGTTGTTGTGGGTTCTAATGCAAGATAAATGTTCCTCTGTAGGCATATTCAAGTTAAGAGTGCCATAGGGAAGGAAACCTGCATTCTGAAAAGCAGTCAATGCACAACAATTCTTGCAATTGCTGGGAAAACAGCATCTTTAAAGGCCTTTGTTAAAAAGAGGGCAATATCAGCTTTCCATTACTACTTTATTTATTACTCAACTCCTAAATATGCGTGACCTGCACCATTTTAAACCCGGAGTATTTAGCAGCTTCCTGGTTAAGCACATTACTGCTCTGCTGTGAGTTCATAGGGAAGAGTGGAACTAAATGTAACACGGCTCAATTGTAGGGTAACTTGGGGTAAAACGCCACCCTACCTCAAGGTAGGGAAAAGGTAATGTGGTCTGCAATAAAATGCAAATTAATTACTTAAAATCATACAGTGTGATTTTCTGGATTTTTGTTTTAGATTCTGTCTCTAACAGTTGAAGTGTACCTATGATAAAAATTACAGACCTCTACATGCTTTGTAAGTAGGAAAACCTGCAAAATCGGCAGTGTATCAAATACTTGTTCTCCCCACTGTATTATCATTTAGAAACAGGGAGACTGGAGGGAGGGACCTCAGGAGAAGGGAAATGGCCTCTGTCAGCATGTCTGGAATGTGTTGCTGGCCAACTGGGATTAAAGGGTCTCTTCCACATCAATTTGATCCTTCCGAAGTCTGGCCACACCCCTGTCTGTGACCTACCTCCGTCCGGGAGTAGCCACGTAACCCCCCCATTCGTTCCCCATCCCCCAACACCCCAACCTCTCCTGTGTGATCCAGTTACAACCTAGGCAGAAGGCCAAGTGGGATTCCATTAGGGACTGTTCAGTTGCTGTAGATTTTAGGTTGTACTGCACAAAGCTGCCTTCGGTATTCCAGGACCAGTATTCCATAATCTTCACTGATTGATTTCCAGCCTTGATATATAAATGCTGCTGGATCAGGTCTGTCAGGCATAAATTGAGGTGACAAAGTCACTGCTATTAACCTACCATAAGATGGTCTAACTGAACACACTTCAACGGCCATCTATAATCATGGACAATTTTTTAAAAGTACAAGTCTCAATACCCTTACATGATTTGTCTTGACCATTACAGTGTACTATACTGTCTCTGAAAATGTCTGTTTATAAATAGTAATAAAACAGGCAAGTTTAGTATCACCTGTTTCTTTGATCTTACAATATTATTTCCTGATTGAAAGCTGTAATATTCTGCTTCATAAACTGTCATTTTCAGTTAGATGACAGGCATTCCATATCCAGAGTGTCTGGCATACCTTGTTTATTTATTTTCTTTATAGGGCTTATATGTGGCATTGTGTGCTGGGTTTGTGCCCACTGTTGACTGCATTTGACCAGTGTGGACAGGTGGACTGTTAATGTTTGATGTTAAAGCTCCATCAATAAAAGGACAGTAGATCAATTACAGGAGTCAGGAACACAACAGGTGGTGCAGTATTTGTTGCCAGGCAGCTCGCTCCCATAGGATAAGGCCTGAATGCATGCCTGGTGAAGGCAATGCTTCAACTCTAGATACAACGCTCTTAGGAAAGCAAAGCAACTCTGGATCATTCATGCTGTGGGTTTCAGAATGGAATGGTTGTGTAATGATGCAGAAAAATAAATCATTAAAACATTCTATGTAAATAAAGTTTGATTTGATTTGAATGCAGAACAGTACAGATGTATTATAGGAACCCAAACTGTTACGGTTTAAAGTCTGTTGACGTTTTCATGTTATTAGAAACAGGAAAATATGGTTGTTGTTTTTGCAAACCACCAGGAATTCAGGGTGATGAGAAAATGGGCTGACTGATGCATTAATTATACATCTCAATGGACGGATGTTAGTGATACATAAAAAAATGTATACTTTCCAGAAAATATCTCCTTGCATTTGTCCAAGAGTATTTATTCTCCATTTTGACCTCATGCTGCTTCTTTATGATATTGTTTTAGTCTTGTATGGAGTTAAGATACAGTCGAATGGATACATTTAGCTATCCTTTGCCACTGGTCTGTTGGCCTACTCTAATTCCTAATTCTATAAGTAAAACACGATCCAGATGGCGGCGCTGTAGTATGATTCAGGGCTCGACACCTGCTGATTAACACTAAAGAAGAAGAGGAACACGGAAGTAGAATTAGAGGCGAGTTTGTATAACGGTTTGGATTTTGTTTTGCGTCACAGAAGCAACATTAGCCTCCTGGGCTGCGTTTCAAACACATTAAAAGACACACCCTCCTCCACTTACTCTCGCCTTATGTCCTTGGGGGAATCCCCACGGCCATCTTTGTCGTCGGTCCAAATCATTAGCCAAGCAAGGGAAGTTGGCAACGTAAGCCCCTCAGCCCTCGTTTTTGATAGAGTTTGCGAGTGTACAATTATGTTCACTCTGGGGCCTGAAACACCCCATAATTCAATTATCGATGATTGTACATCCGCTAAAAAAAGTCTGCCAAAACTTAAAACAAACACTAAAATGGAGAAGTCAACATACAAGTGTAAGTAAAAACAAATGTAAATAAGTTAGAAATGGTTCTACTAATGCACATGACGTCTCAAACACGTATCATAAAAGTAATGATGTTTTTGTTTGGTTAGCTTTTGGAAACGTTAGCTTGTGCATACAACTTTCCCTGACATCACACTTATACATTGTAATTTTCGATTGACCTGATATAGATGGATGGCTAACATTCAATGTCTGCGGATGCGTTGTCTTCTAGCCAAGATATGAAATGCAATCATAATTGACTGTAGCGCATATAATGCACGCACAACAGCTACCGGTGGTTCCATGATGACTGAAAACACAACTGTGGGACGAACAAGTGACACATTTCCAGGCAAGAGCGGTCCATTTAAAATGAATTCATCCCTCGCCCCTTGCTCTGCAAGTGTCAACTCGTCAGACGTCATCAGAAGTGTCCACTTAATTTGAGGGCTGAGGGGAGAGGGTGTGTCTTTAAAGTGTTTGGAACGCAACCCTGGTGTCAGTGCCAGATCTGACTGCCTACCGAATCAGACTGACCATTGCGCCGATCTGCGTCACAAACAAACATTTTGGAAGCTGATTCGCTGCTTGTCTCCCATAACTCCGCCCCATAGTTACTGTTGCCACGACTAGTCAATGTGTGCTAGCAATTCTCAGGAAAAGGGGAGACTGATTTGGATAAGGTCAAATCAAATCAAATCAAATCAAATTTTATTGGTCACATGCGCCGAATACAACAGGTGCAGACATTACAGTGAAATGCTTACTTACAGCCCTTAACCAACAGTGCATTTATTTTAAACAAAAAAAGTAAAAATAAAACAACAACAAAAAAAGTGTTGAGAAAAAAAGAGCAGAAGTAAAATAAAGTGACAGTAGGGAGGCTATATATACAGTAAAATAAAGTGACAGTAGGGAGGCTATATATACAGGGGGGTACCGTTGCAGAGTCAATGTGCGGGGGCACCGGCTAGTTGAGGTAGTTGAGGTAATATGTACATGTGGGTAGAGTTAAAGTGACTATGCATAAATACTTACTTAACAGAGTAGCAGCAGCGTAAAAAGGATGGGGTGGGGGGGCAGTGCAAATTCTGGAAGCTGATTCGCTGCTTTACCAAAGCGCAAGGTGCTGCAAGCTAACGTTATCTAACAAACTAGCAGCTAATTCTGTGGCTATATATGTAGCTAGCTAACTAGCTAGCAACTCGTTTATTACTGTATAGAATAGTAGATAGATGTGTTGATTGTATCCTCTGAACTAATATCTCCAGCACATTGCACTGTTAACTACTAGGCTAATAAGCTAGCTAGCAAGTTGTGTGGTCATTTTGGCTAGATAGCTGCAGTGCAACATAGCGTTGAGTTATGGATGTAACGTTGGTTCTCTAAGTAGAGTAACGGGTCACCAAACGACTTATGGGAACTCCTTCCCCTTCACGCGATGAGATTGAGATGCTTAATATCAAAGATGTTTACAGTCACGCCACACCCTTACTGTACCCACGTGACCTGTCACTATAAAAGGCGGTGTGGCGTGTCATACTCTCTATTACGTCACTCAACCCCTATGGAGGTGGAGGAACGACATGAAAGCTTGGTGACCCGTTACTCTACTCAGAGACTCTTTCGTTTTCGTAACGGGTCACCAAATGACCTATGGGAGAGGCTGTACCAAAGAGGTCGTTTGGACAACTGAGTGGGATATCTCACCATTTAACTTAGTCCAGATGAGTCCCTTGGATGTCCTTGTATACAGCACAGGATGCTACAGAATATACAGTGCATTCGGAAAGTATTCAGACCCCTTGACTTTTTCCACATTTTAAATAAATAAAAATAAATATGCCATTTAGCAGACGCTTTTATCCAAAGCGACTTACAGTCATTTTGTTACGTTATAGCCTTATTTTAAATTTGATTAAATTGTTTTTTTCCCTCATATTAATGGCGCCGGAGAAGATGGCTGCCGTTTTACAGCCCTCTAACCAATTGTACTATTATGTGTGTTTTCC